ATGCTTATCCAATACCCTTCAACAATCTACTCGTTACTCGAATCATACCTAGTCTCCCATTACTAAGAGTAATTTCAAAAGTCAAACTTAAATTTCTAATTTGAGCCAAAAGGTACATCTCTTTAACCATAAAGAAAGATGAATATAGATGTTTCCTACTCAAAGCATCGACCACTACTTTAGATTTACCCAGATAACAACTAAGATTAAAATCCTAATCCTTAACAATTTCCAACTATCTCTTCTGTCTCATATTCAACTCCTTCGGATCAAACAGATATTTAAGATCCTTATGATCACTAAATACCTCAAGCTTAGAATTATACCAGTAATGTCTCCAAAATCTCAAGTGTAACTATTACAACCTCTAATTCAAGGTCATGGGTAAGGTAATTTCTCTCATGAATTTTCCATTACCTAGATACTTAAAAACACAAGTTACTACCTTTGCATCAATAATCCACCCAAACCTGTCTTCAAAGCCATCACTACATACCACATAAGACTTACTAGAGTCCGGTAATGTTAACACTAGTCAATTTTTCTGAAGAGTTTGGAAAATACCCTCACACTTACTATTCCTTAAAAGCAACTATCTCTTCCTGATCAATACAGTCAAAGGTAAGATTATCTAAGAAATTTCCTCAATAAATCTCCTATAATAATAAGTTAATTCAAGAAAACTCATATCCCCACTATCTGACTTTGGTATCTCCTACTTAAGCACAAATTCTACCACAAATAGATCTATATTATATCTCCACTAAAAATTACAAGACCTAAAAAGTTCACCTCATGCAATAGAAATTCATGCTTAGATAACTTGGCGTAACGCTGTCTTGGATATATCTTCACCCTTAACTCTAATATGATGATATCACATCCTAAGGTCAATCTCACTAAACACACAACCTTCATTAATTCATCCCTAAGGTCATCTATCCACATATCAACATACATGCATATCAAGTCATATTAGAATGCCTACTTTAAACCTTCATATATACCATCCATAAGCATGTACATGAACAACCTTTACCACATAGCATCATATAACCTTAAACAACCTCTCAATCCACATGAAAACAGCCCAAAACATCTTAACAAAGTCAATTCTTATCCTTGCATTGCCTACTAACCCGAAAACATTATTATACAGCCTAACTTCTCCTTTCAACAACTATCAAAGAAAAAAACACATAGAGAGTTCTACTCATCCACGTGATCTCAACCTATCACCAACGAAAGCTAAGTGAATAAGCTACAACTCTTAGGGAGACATGAGATTTTAAAAGGATCATCTTCTTAGTTAAAAATTCAAAAATCACCACAGATATATTCAACGCTTACAACTAGACCTTTGATCACCAAAGTAGATATAATGGGAGTGCAAACATCCCCTACACACTAACACATCAACATCTAGGCCACAAAATACCTCAATCCTTCCAAACTTACTCCTTTCCACCTCAAATTCATATCAAAGTTTCCCACTACAAACCAAACAACTCACATATTCAGTACAAAAAGGCTTAGAAAATAAAATTCACATGCAACCATCAAACTCTAGAAATCATCAACACTTCAATCTCTCCTTAAGAATACCAAAATTCCAATTCTCAACATACATCATCCTTGGATTCAATTGCTATAACTATAGCTTTCAAAAATTTCACCAATTGTAAACTTTTAATACACTAAAAAAAAAATCAATGTCTTACCCAAATCTAAGGCCTCAATAGTCCCTACAATATTAGCACAATATCTCGTCTACTACTCGCACATATGCTTGCAACACAAACGATATCACTCAACCACTACTTCTTACATAAGCAAGAAGTATCAAACAAATAAGCAATCATAAGAATGAAGAAGAGCGATCATAATGGTATTAGCTAACACTATCATAACTATCATTCCTCTAATTACAAAATAACTTAACAATATCAAACTCTACAATATCAGCACAAGGAGAACATTATCATCATCATTATCAAAACAAAGCATCATCAAAGTATATAACAAACAAAACACTGTCAGAGTACACAACAGAATTACGATAAGAATATAACTCACGGCCGATTGGATCGACCTGCTCTGATACCACTAAATGTGACACCCTCTACCCCAACATTAATACACAATAAATGTAAACAATAATTTTTTTTCTTTTTCTTTTTGAGTAAATAAAATCTTTCATAGTTGACAACCTCTTTCATGGATAAAATAATTGTCTCAATTATCATAAGGTAGAAGATTCACATTCGTAACTCATAAATCATAAAAAGATCGACACGTAAGTATCAAAACTCAAGAAATCATATAAAGGAAAATATAGATTAATTCCAGCAAAGGTGGCAGTGCCTCCTAGTTAGGAATTAATTTATCACTTTCAATTCATGTAATAAAAATAATATAACAAAAATGTACATTTTGGTCTTTTCTCAAGAACGTTCAAAATTACAAAAGAAGAGAAAATTAAAGCTTTTAAAAAAATAACATCCCAAAATAAGCCTAGCTATGCCCGATGTCACATCCTATCAGAGCATGCCCAACTGAAGCCTTAAGCCTCATCACCAACATCCTCATGATGCTGATCATCTGCAACATAATTTAAAACATATACAAGAACAACAAAGGAGTGAGAAACATCTCACTCAGTTTTAGGTGAAGAAATAAAGGTTAGATAGCACACACACACACAAAACATAAATAAGTCACATGAACAATACACATAAATAATCAATATCACATATATATTCATTTATCATGCTATAATGTCATGATCTCGACTCATAAATGCATGCATGTGACGCCATAAGGAAGTTTCACATATCATCATTGGTGACCCTAAGGTACACCTGGTTACATCACTGGTGACCCTAAGGTACACCTTATTGGCATGTTACGTCATGGGTGACCCAAAGGTACACCTTATTAGTCGTGGGTGACCCTAAGGTACACCTTATTGGCATGTTACGTCATCGGTGACCCAAAGGTACACCTTATTAGTCGTGGGTGACCCTAAGGTACACCTTGTTAGTCGTGGGTATGCGGCCTCAGCGGCACACCTGGAGTAATATATGCATATGATGCATGTCATACATTCATAATTTCATTGACTCAACATTTAGCTTATTACAGAAATTCATTTAGTACATCATGTCATTATTTTTTTTATAGTCTCATAATCATAACTTGTCTCAATAGTCCATTTTTATGTCTCATGTCATTGGTATATATTTCACATGGTCATGTCATAAATACTCCTCATAAGGTCCGCACAGGAATTCACAGAGAGCATTCTTATTCATATTAAAACTTATTTATTTTTAGCATTAATTTCATATTCATTTATTTCTTCCAACAAGGAACAAAGTAGAGCAAACAAAAAGTAAAACAGAATAACAGGCAAGGGATTGGGGGCCAATCTGACAATCAAACTATCCAAAAATTATTCTCACACCCCCGAGCGAGGTTTCTCACTCCTCCCTTACTTGGATAAGCAAGAGTTGAAACTTGAGCAGAACCTCCTCCTCTGGATTCCCTTTTTCTTTCTTTCTCTCTCTTTCTTTCTTTTTCTTTCTCTCTCTCTCTCTCTCTCTCTCTCTTTTTCTTTCTCTCTCTCTCTAAGATTTTCAGCTTCTCACTACGTTATAAATTTTTCACCCTCTTGCCTCTATTTATAGGCATCCTGGCGCACCCGGAACGGCTCGTACTGAATTCAGAACGACCCGTTCTGGAGCCTTCAAATATACGCAAAATTTTCAACTGGAACGGCCCGTTCTAAAATCGGAACGACCCCCTTTCCAAAAAGCAGAACGACCCGTTCTGGAGTTCACTTTTACACAGATTGACCATAAGGAGAACGACCCGTTTCCAACTTAACTTTTTAGGCATTTTTCTTACTCTAGAACGGCCCGTTTCACTTTGGGAACGACCCGTTCTGGAAAAACCCAAATAGGCCTTTTTACATATTTGGAACGGCCCGTTCCACTTTTGGAACGACCCGTTCTGCCACTTCAAAAGCAGTTTACTTTCTTTGTTTGGAACGGCCCGTGCCACTTTTGGAACAGCCCGTTCCAGCGTAAAGAAACAGAATTTTATATAAAAATTTTCACAAATAATTAAATTATTACAAACCTTTAAAATATTTTATAAAACTCTCTTTAATTAACTAAAACAACTATAAGAAGATAATCTTCATAAATATATAAATAAATAATTGCATTAGTAGAAAATTCAGGGTGTTACAATCAGCAGAACATAATCATTCCAACCATACTCAGGAGCAAATACTTCATGGACATGGTATATATATACAAGTAACAAACTACTACATTTTGTATTTATCTCATTTTAGTACAAAGAGATTGTCTAAGGTACCCAAGCCCAAAGTCATATAACAGAATGATACAGGAAGAACATTGACAATTTAAAATCCTTCATAGAGGACACATTTTCAAGTTAAAATCCTTCATAGAGTCAACAAGCACGAGGATGAATATTTGCCATGAAAAGGCATAGGTAAAAAGGGTCAGATTATAAACTCTTAGAATGTGGGATTATGCATAACTTAACTTTACCAAACTAGTTTGTGAGATGAGGACTGACCCAACTAATATACTATATTTTGATTTTATCTTTAGTTAATCTAAGACTTTGATTTTTTCCAATATAAACAATAATTTTAGAACCTGTTCAACTGCTTGTTTCAACATAAGTTTGAAGGTCAGATGTCCAACCTCTTTACATAGTTCCATACCAATTAAGCTATGATAAAATGGCAAGTCTACCACTACAAGATGATTTGTTATCATGGTGCATCATCATCATAACATAAATGCAAGAAGTTCCAAATTTTATTATTAAATTTGGAGCCTCTTAAAAGCATGTTAAAGAAAAACAACTCTAGCTATGGTCTCTACAAGGACATCTAGTAACAGATACATCCAAAGTAAACTAGAAGTAAATGATTCCTAATCAACAATATTTCCATTATTCAGCAAATAGGAATTCATTGTGAACCCAGCAACATCAGTACTTCCATGATAATAGAATGCATAAATAGTTAACAAGACTACAATGAAATAGCATTCCATTACATTGATCCCTGTTCCAACAACCATCCAATCAATTGAAAAAAATGACATTGACTGCAGTGCGGTTGAGATTGCAGTGGCCCTGAATTAATCACCTCAGTGGATAAGCAATGTACAACAACTAGTTCCTGGAGAAAAAAAAATGAAAAGATTTAATCGACAATCATGGTTATCAGAAGAAAGGAGTAACCAACACAAAGAAAGAAAAATCACCATCAAAAGTCTGAAAAATCGATCCATAACATCATCCCCATTAAGTATGTCGTCCTGTTGCAATTGTAATGTGAAGTGGGCAGATGTTATATCATTGGCACAAGGAAATTCACACATCCTATACCATTCTATGATGAAAGCCTACAATATGTGCATAATAAATAATCATTAGAATTTCAAATTTTGTTTATGGTCCCATACATATTAAAGAAGGAATTTATCCTAATGTCCCTTGCTAAACAAAGAAAAAATAAAAGGCGAGCAATAAAGAAAAAACTATTCGACTTGAAGTATCATTCTGAAACCATACCTTCTCAACGAAAGTTGTTGACGAATCTCTTCATCAATGGTGCTTATTTCCTATAAAATAGTAGATAGCATCAAAGACAACAAGCTAGTTAAATTACATACAAAATAACGGATTAAACAGATTGACCTATGGAGGTACTCTTCACTGCATCCCCTTTTTATTTCACCAGAGATAATTGTCATGCATCAAGCGTTTTACAAAGTAATCAAATAATCACATACAAGAAAGGATACAATTTGATAAATACTCATTGTTACAAACACAAAAATTTTACAAAGGTGACAAATTAGTCGTTCACAACTATCATTACTATATACTTCAGTAATTAAAACAATGGAAACATCATCTAAATTATGGGGCAAATACTCTAAAATTAATTATTAAATTACCATATAAAAGGAGAAACAAAAGCACTATTTTCCACACTTCCACAAATAACTACAACCACAAACAAATCTTAGCACTTAGCAGCTAACCTTATCACTAGCAGCCTGTACAACGACTGCAAGGCCTTGATCAAGATTATCATTGACGAGAAGTTGCACAACTTGTTCCAAAATTTCATTAGGAATATTTAAGTTCTGAAGTGAAGTCCTCAGATGACCAGATATTGAAGCTCGTAATGGTTCCTAGAAGAAAAGGAGATACGATAGGGAGAAGAAAATAAAACAAAACAGAGGCTAAAAACATATAATCCTAAAAGAATTTGCTAAGATATAAACAAACAAGATAGATATCAAATTTAAGGGCATTACTTTGCAGTTAACACGAGCCAAACTCTCAGCCAGACTAGCGACCATCATGCGTGCCACATTTAATATACGTGTCTCGTCAGATTCCATAGCATAATCCTGCAAATGAATTACATAAATTAAAATCAAGCAAAAAAAACAGTGTACAAGCTTTGTCTGTTAAGGCTTCCGATTAAAACAATACTACTACAGACATCTCTATATACGTTACCTAGAAACAAAAACCAGCAGTTAAAAAGATATTAACACACTTAAAAAAATGTGACAATGTTATATACCATAACATCCTGATATGTTTGAAGAGTAGATTAAGCAGTTAGAATCTCAGCTTCACTGATATGTATGCAACCTTTAAAACAAGCTCCTTGGTTGTTGTTGTTGATAAGGAAACAATACTCTGCTCATTACTAGACACTGTCTCTTTGATAGCTCTGTCCATTGCAATGGATACCGCTCTGTAATAAACAAATAGTAACTCAGTCATATAGATTCAAACAGGAAGCAGAACACCATACTGAGAGCATCATACATTTGCATTCCAAAAACACTGAGCTTTTGCTTGATAATAACGTCTGTCCGAAAGTTAGGTATCTGTGTTGGAAGCTGTAAACACAAGTTGTAGTCAGTTATACTTCAAAACTTAAAATAGCATCTGAGCATAGAACCGACACAGACACCCGACACTTTGACACAATTAATGTCTAAAATATAGGACACCAAACACCACATACACATACCAAAAGAGAGAGACTCTAATAAAATAAAATATAACATAACAAAATATCTAAATTGATGACATATTCACCTTTTTAAACCAACCTTCTATGTTTTTTCTATGACAAGCCTAAACGAAGGCGAGACATTTTTTAAGATTTCATATTATATTCTAAGGTGACAGGTCTAAGTCAAAAAAAGAAATTTTTAATAGTACCAGTGTATGTCCATTCATAAGAAGGTGTCAGCTCAAGTGTTCGAGTTGGGCAGAGGTGTCACCTCAAGTGTTCAAGCCAACAAAAAATAAATTTTTTAATTGGACACCTGATAAGTGTCTGACATGTGTTGAGCAAGTGTTAGAGTGTCAATGTCAGAAACATGCTCAACACTGCGACATTTCGAACAAATGAGGTATTCGTGTTTCATAGCATCAAGCTAAATATGGCTCCATGAACAAGAGAGGTATTCGGGTTTCATAGCATTGAGCTAAATATGGCTCCAATTGGCATGTATCTTCACTAAGTGACTTACCTGTACTAATTTTCTGGATCTTATTGTCAAAATGGGAATGATTGATATTCAATTACCAACTCCAGAAAAAGTTTGTAAATATCAAAGATATTGTTAGGAAGTCAAAAATATGTGAGACTAGCATGTGACATTTGTTCCCCTATTACCGCTATTTTCTTATTTCCTTTTTAGGCATAATCTTTACCCTATAAAAAGGAAGGTTAGTGAATGAACAAAACACATAGTATACAGTTTTTTTCTCTTTCAACTGAAAGATGAAGAGGACCAACCTACTATCCACACCTAGAAAAAAAAATAATTTCTAAATCAATAAAAATAGGAGTCATCGAAGACCAAAAGAATGTAAGAATAAACCTGAGATTGTATATGCAGATGAGCCCCTGTATTGGATGGTTTGGTGACTTCAAGTGATAATTCCCCTTGATTTACTGGAAGTACATGGCCAGATGATATTACATCAGTAATCATTTGTGCTTGAGATGCCCAACATCTTTATTAGAGAAATCAGGATTTCCTTCAATTTGTCTTTTTCTATCCTTCAAGAGAGAAGTTTGTTTGACATCCTTCATATCCACACCAAGATTCTTGAATAAAACCTATATATCACAAATATTTCAATAAACCTTTTTTGTCAATGACACTCCAGGAAGGAAACAAGAAAAACGTACCTCTATGTCAAACTTGAGGCTCATTTTCAAGTTGGGCATTGAATAAATCTCATTAAGCAATCCTAAAATGGCCATAGTCCAAGGATTAGGTGGTTGATATGCAAGACTGGTTTTGCATGGTTTGAGGATCTGTAAAAAGAAATTGAATGATAATGTAGCAGGCTACTGAGTATAAACATTGAAGCAGATAATTACAATAATAAATTATACCTTTGATGTAAATGGAATAACAACGAACATTAGCCCCTTCTCATATGCCTACAACATGGAAAACAATTTGATAAGAAAATGACCAATTGAAGGGCCATCTGCTCCTGAAATATATTCAATTTGGAAATTACCTCTATAATCAAAGACTTTGGGTCTATTTCACGAGCCATCAAAACCTTATTACGGCCAATTGTTAACTTCCCAAGCCAGCTCCCCAAATTTTTAAGCAAAGAGCGTTCTTCTAAACTTGATTTTAAGAGCTCTGATCCTAAAAGAGCCTGAAGAATATTCAAACACCAAGTATTATTTCATATTATCGACACAACTTGTCACTTCAATCAAGCAGGGAACAGAAACAAGGCTCAAACCTTGCAATTTTCATAAGTTGCCTGCACAATCTCTTTGTTTAAAGCCTTGGAATTAATCTTATCCAGGAATTTCAGGTACAAGTCATGGAAATTTGGCTCAATGCTTGCTCTAGAAATAAATAACAAATGGTATAAATGAAGGTACCAATATATATATCATTCCCCATATCTCTACATGGATGCAACTGTTTTAAGCAATTACATGATACATGACTTGACTTATGAATCACGCTAACCTTTTCATAACCATATACCGTGCAAACCAAGGATAGTACTGCTCTTTCAAAACTTCAGCAAACACTTCTGCTTTGTCTTCAATATTAGCAGCAGAAACATTATTAATTATGAATGATATCTTTTCTTGATCATCTGAGTCCGGAGCCTGTTAACAATATAAAAAATTAGGGGAGAAACATGCATATTTTTAATATTTTCTGTTTTACTTTCTGATTGTTCTGTTTGTTGTATGAGATGTATGAATATGTATTTAATTTTGCAAATAGATGAGTTTTGATATGAATTAAAGTGCTATGTGAAAATGGTGAATATGATGTGATAATGTGATGATGAGAACATGATGATGAAATGTGATGATGCAATGTGATGATGAGATGTGATGAGGTGATGTGTTGATGACATGATGTGTTGATAACATGATGATAATGAGACATGATAATGTGATATGGGAATGAGACATGAAAATGTGATATGAGAAAAGCATGGAGTCTTGATTGACATGCATCATATGCATAAATGTTTGGGGATAGCTCGGTTTGTAAGTCCTAGTCTCGTCCATTATGTGCATGGGATGTATCTTGCGCGGCTTAGCTATTCCGATGAGACTCTGGTAGTATGTCCTTCTAGTGAGAGTACGCACAGGGTGTGACCCGACATGTACTCTTAGACTATTCTTTGTGTATTGCTAGCGGCAATACGCCATGTGATATGTTACTGGCGCCACATACGCATGATAAAATGTAGTCCGTGTCCATACATATGCATTTTAATGTTATATGAAAAATTGATATGTCTTGGATGATTGAAATGTGATATTATTATTAATTTATCTATGTTATATATGTTTTGTTTGTGTTTGGCTATCTGGTGTATATTCCTACACTGTCAGCCAGAGTGAGATGTTTCTCACTCCCTTTTCTCGTGTTGTTTTTCCTTGACTGTCTTACAGGTAATTATCAATATGAGGCTGAGGATGTTGATGATGAAGCTTAGACTTTTATGTTGAAATTTGCTCTGATAGGACATGTGACATCGGGGCGTATGTAGGATTAAATTAAGATGTTTTTATTAAATTATTTAGTAAGACCTTATATTATCTCTTTGTAATTTCCGCTGATTAATCTACTGTTTAAGTTATGGATGTGATACCCTCTATTTAAACATGTTTGGTATTTTAATTATGAAAAAAGTTATGTTATTTAATTTTTGTTATATGTGTTATGGTATATGAAGTAGAGGGTGTCACATTATTGGTGTTTAGGTGACAACTATGTTATATTTCATAGAATTTCTTTAGAAGTTAAAAGTATGTCGAGAGTTTCTTTACTTAAAAAAAAGTTATTTATTTTTAATAATTTTTTTAAAAGCTATTTAATTAACTTGTAAGCAAATAGGCCCATAAAGTAAAAACAAATTCATTAGATCTTTCTTCCAATTACATGGCATTAATCATATTTTACCTTTTTAACTCCAAAATTTTGCCTTTATGTTTGTTGGAATTAACTACTGCATTGGTTTCATTAATATGAGATGAACGTTATAAAGACTAATTAAGTGTAGTTTATTTATTTATTTTTATTGTTTCTATATTATTTTTAAACAATAAAAAAATAAATAAATGATAAACAAGAATAAGCATGATGAGACGCAAGGTAATTTGGGTGTGTTGCACCTTTGACTATTCATACACAAATAATACAACATTTAAAAATAAAAATAAAAAATAATCTAAAACTAAGTCTAACAACAAAGTACATGTATGAGCAAAATATCAAAAGTTATAGTACACCTGAAACTATGAAAATATTCTCTAGCTATTATGTGATGTGCATACCTATAAGTAGAACAATTATTATTTTAGGATAAGATTAACTTATTACATTACAATCTAGTTGATAATAAATTAAATGGTTGTAAACAAATGAAATAAGTGTGACTATAATTTAAAATTTTAAAAAAAATCATTGCCACATGTCTATAAATAGGCCATCGTGATGTAAAAACAAGGAACACGAACTTTCTTCATTGTTGAAGGTTTTATAGAGAGTTATGTGAGAGAGAATATTTTTTTAGAGCTTCTAAAAAATAATTTCTATTTTTTGAAGTTCTAGAACACTATTTAGTCTTACTTCTACAATATTTTATTGTCTCTTAATGTAGAAGACTAAAATTTTATTATGATCTTTAATATATATATATATATATATATATATATATATAT